ATTGGTTCTCAAACTGACCCCTGCTGTCATGGTCAGCTTGACACTCCTTCCTCGGAGCTTAAGGCCTATAAAGCCGTTGATGTCCCGTTCAAGTAACCTTGTCATCTTCTGCTGCTAACTTTCCCTTCTCGTGAGCAGTGACAGGACAGACCTTCGATATCCTCGCAGCCCATTTCCACAAAATGAGTAAATGGCCCGAAGCATCCCCAGCAGCACACAGAGAAGTAGTAGATAAAGAGCCAGATTGGGGAACTTCAGGTGTAGGATCCTTTCTGGGTCAAATCCAGTCCTCTGGGTTTCCCCAGAGAGTCAGGCTCCCTTCCCCATCATCCTGTGTGTTTCCATAGCTTTTTCACTCCCCCCCCCTTAGCATTTTATGTAAAACATTTTTTTCCAAAAAATTAGATAAGGATTTCCCATCTGCAGGGCAACCCCCTTAAGACCTTTGCTAAAATCCAGACCTCGGACTGAAAGGCTTAGCAGTCTCCCAGGGTGGCTTGGCAGAGATACTGGGAACTGGACTCTCTCGGCCAGTACGTGGCCTGGAAGGTAAGCCGTGGCATCCCACGGATCAGGGCTACCAGCCATCATCAGGGACTCAGGCCCCACCCGTGTGCTGCTGGCCAGGCACTCAGAGGCTTGGAAACCAGTGGGTCCGACAGGGAAAGCATAACCCCTGAGCATCACTGAGGATCTCGAAACCTTCCACACCCAGTAGAGCAGGGATCACTAAACTGGTACAAGTTTTCTTATCTCCTGCCAAATGGGAACCAATGCATTTAAAACAATGGTTTGACCAGGTCCAGCCCCTTCCAGTCAGTTTCGATGGCCAAGCAGGGATACAAACCCACATTGAACCCTGACTCCCAATCCATCACTCCCTCCACTGTGCCATACCGGGCGTCATCCTAAACCAGAGTGGGTCCCGGGTCTAAAACTCATGAGCTTCTGAGCCCAGCCTTGAGCTTTGGACCGAACTCTCTCCAAATCTCTTACGCCAGCGCCGACACCCGCATCCGACCCAGTACGAGCCTCAAGGGGGTTGGAGAACGCCAGTCTTTGAAACAACCTTGGGTGACTCTAAGGCCTCCCCCCTCTCCAGGGTGGGGCAGAGCCTCGGAGGGGAATTTCTGGGCTCAGTGGGGGCAGGAAGGCGCATCGGTGGCATAGACTGGACCAGGTGGAGCTGTCCCGGGTGCTGAAATGGTTTTGACATCCTGTCGGAAACATGTGTATTCTTGGTGTTTTTTTAATGATAGAAACTCTTTGAAAATGGCTGCAGACGTGTGGACGGGGTGTTTCATTTTTCATCTTTCAAATATTGATTTAATACTTTTCATTGCAGCTATTCTTATATATAACTTTGTAATCCACCCTGGGAAGGATAGGGAGGTGGGATCTATCTATCTATCTATCTATCTATCTATCTATCTATCTATCTATCTATCTATCTATCTATCTATCTATCTATCTATCTATCTATCTATCTATCTATCTATCTATCTGTCT